ATATGCAGTTTGGTTTCATATTTATTATTTTGCCTTTTTCAACAAGTGTACGTTTTTGAAATAAGAAATTGACATACTTAGCATACAAGGCATACAAGGCTTTTATGGCTTTCATGCGTTTGCAACTCAATCTGTTCCAGAAAATACCACTCAATAACATCTTTTAGTGTGGATTGGCCACGAACAATATGACTTGTGTATGCGTCTGTAAGTATATCGAGCGTTTGCACCATAGAGCTCCAGGTAATCGTAAACAAAGATATTGCACCTCCGTTTCCAAAGCAACAATCCCAGAACAAATACAAAATGGCTGACAAAAGAGTTTTATAAGCAAAAATCTCGTGTTTCATCATGTGACTCGGCCCTGTCCATGCACGACGTCAATCATCATCAAGATAACTCACGTGATCAGCATGTGAACACCTTTACACTCATTGGGTCACAGTTAGTTGTCATGATGTTGAGGGCCCAATGACCACTGGGTACTATCGCGTAATTTTTCCATTTTGTGGTAAACAAAGGCATTTTTTTGACTGGGCTACCACAGGTATCCCACTAAAAAGCCAGTGAGCACAGTAAGCAAATGTAGCCTTGTGTTGACCAGCTATCTGTTTTGAAGTCAAAATTTTTTAGATGAAATTGCACCAGTTCCATTTTTAATCCTTCTGAAATTGAGATGTAATTTTTGTACAGAATTTTAGTATCTGTGCCTAGAACTTTATATAAACTTGGGATGTGAAGAAGGTACTGTTCATGTACATTGGTTTCTGTTTGTATTTGATATATTGATAGAGAAATTTATATTTTTATCATGAGTAAAGTAATAGAGTACATTTCTGTTAATGTCTTGGTATAATATATGAAATAATCATTCTTGAAATAATCAGAATGTAATGATTTTCGGACATTGTTTAAGGAGGGTGTGCCATTGTAATTTCATTATTTAAGCACCAGTGGTACAATTCATTACTTATCTTTGATTGGACGGCACTGAGAAACGCAGACATAAGAAGTGGAAATTGCATGTAAAGAAGTCAAAATCAATGGAAAACTAATATATTATAAAATGAAATTACAATATGCTCAATCTAATGTAAATTTTGTGAGTGACTTGCTATTCAATGGCTTGAACTCTCTTTATCCTGACATGTAAACTCATAGTATTGAAGGTATCAATTGTGCTTCAGTTACTGATCAGCGTTTGTAGTTCAATGTTATTTTATTTTGTAGACAAAAATTAACACAACTTGCTGTCACTCTTAAAATGAATAATATCAAATGAAGAAACTTAAGCCTACATTCTCTCCAAATTTAATGCAAAATTGTGCTTTAGAATATATATCTGCTGCATTGATTATTTTAAGGTTAAAATTAAAAAAATTCTCAAAAAACTGTCCAAGCTAATAAGTTCAACTAAATACAAGTGTAGTGCCTTTTCATTTTCAAGTGTAGGACTGACTGCTCAAAATACATGAAATATTTTAGCTCTGGTGTGGTTTTTCTGAAAGTGTCCATGTGATTATGGGCTGTTTGGCATCATGTGACCACACAGGTAGAGCATGACATAGATATTCCCTACTGCTCTGTTTTTCAAAGCCTATGTCCAAATAGTGAAAGTCTTTCTGTGACGGTTGATTCTTGATTATATTGAATTGCTATGGTTGCAGTGGAAGAAAATAATCCTATTATGTAATCTGCATGCTACACAAATGTTCTTTTTATTCCATTCTTACCCTAAAACCTAAATTGCCAAATATCCTCTACTTTTAAACGTTACATCTTAGTTCTTTAAGTGTTTATACATGTATCATCCTCCCTTGTCATCTAAGAGGATTCTCTTAGGCTAGACTTCAGTCATCAAACACCAAGAACTTTCCACCACTGACCTTGCTCAACTTGGACAGTTTTGTTCGATGGCCATCCTTAAAGGTGTCAACCACCTCTATGCTCTCTAATTCCATTGGATCCACTTGGTAGGGGTTCTTAGACAATATGAGCAGATCTGCTTTCTTGTTCACCTCTAAGCTACCCAATTCACAATCTTTGTGGATTTGCCAGGCTGCATTTATGGTGTAAGCCTTCAAGGCCTCATG